CTAGAGGAAGAGTCTCTCCACCACCCTTCCCACTGAGGAAGGGGCCCCGAGCTCCCAGTGAGAGCCTTACTGTTCAGGCAGCCACACCCCTCCTCACTTTCCATCTGGGTGCCTCCCCACAAACTAATCTCCTTTCCATTTCCTGCTGAACTTTGCGATTGCCTAGCCCCTGCCAGTGTTACCCCACTTCCTCTATTTGGAGGTACTCCTCTACCCTTTCCTAATTCGCCCTCATGACGTGTGTCATACTTTTCTACACCAAGCTGTCACTAATCCGCTTTCCTCATGTAGGGAGGTAGAGAGGAGAGTCTGGGTGGTGCTTTGTCTGTCCAGTAAAATAAGCAAATTTGGAAGAACGTATAAGGCTGAGGATGTTGTCTGGGGCAGGGAGGCTGGACAAGAGTGTCTAAGGTCATGTCTCCATCAGGGTTTTAGAAACACTGTCAGCTTTCTGAGTGGGAAAAGCAAGAGGTGTTAGGATTCAGTGGTAGATGGGGTGTAGACCGTGAGCCAGGTGGGATGGAAACATCTGGAAAACTGGTTTCTAGAGACTAGGTTCAGCCACCTTGTGAGGTGCTCAGAGGCCAGGCTTCAAACTCCAGAGGTGTAAGCTCTGATGTAAACAAAGGGTTTGGAGGACAGGATGGGACTGAGATGGGACCCAGGATCACTGTCCACAGACTAGTGTGCACAGGGCAGGGAGAGGCAGCCACTGGGGACCCAAATAAGAACTTCCCATTTAGCCCAGTTGGGAGAGTGATGATACTAAAGTCTGCCTACTTGGGTGGGAAGAAGGGAATGGTTGCAGAACTTTAAGTGCTGGGTATCTCAGTGAAAACTGGTTTAAGAACTAAGGATGGGCTAGGGAGCAGGCATTTGGGTATAGATGATTAAGTGAATTTGAAGAAAGTAGTGGGAAAGATCCAGTATTGTGTCAGGAAAAGAGGCCCACTGATCACCGAGTTTGGCTACTCTGTCCTTTGATGTCATTTCCAGGTCAAGGGTGAAGGTAACAATTTTGTCAATGCATCTCAAAGTAACCACATTCTCAGAAACAAATTCATGATATACAAACTCCAAAGATACCAAATTATAATCCAAGAATAGGGAGTTTTTTGTTAACTTACAATAAGAAGTATTTCTTTCTGGTGATATATTCATGCATGTTGCCCAAATTAGTAGCCATCAGCTATGATTAGGGCACAGCATAGTGGAGGATATTTAAGCACCCTGCAAAAACTCTCAGGACAATTCCTGGTACTATGTAAGTCTCTTGCGTGTGAATGTCTGCCCAATCCCTTCTATCTGGGCACTGCTGAACAAACACCCACTCATATCTGGCCCCCTCTTCCCTTTTGTAAGCCGTCTTCTCAGGTACGTCACTGCCATTGGCCGGACTACTGATCCTTCGTCTGATTCCTGCATGGACTGGCCTGGCTGCGTATTGCGTTGCTTTATGGATGCCCCATCTCCTGAAGACTGCTTCAGAACCATCATCTCCATTAGGTGAGAATTCCGATAATTTAAACTTGGAAGCTCCCCTTCAGTCTGAGCTATTTTAACTTCTCTGTATTGACAGGTGGGCAAAATGAGACAACGGTCTGACAACCTGTATCCTCCCAAGACTCTCTATCTTCAATAATTTTAACAAATGGTCCGATGGAGAGACGGACCAAAAAAGCCCATAAACTTGAAACGAAGGGACCATGCAGCACCCACTAATGTTTTTGACTTTTGTGAACTCTCATTTTGCTGTCACTTTATTTTTGTGTTATATTATCACATTAGAACAAGAATGCTCGGGGCATCATGGCTTGCTCTGCCTCATTGGGCCTCCATTCCAGAGATTCCACAGACACTTCCCAGCCTGGCAGGATGCAGAGACTTGACCTGAAAGTACATGAGGACCATCGACAGGAAGGCAGACCCATCATTTGGGAATCTTGACAGAATGCGGATTCTGAATCTGTCTAAGGTCTGAGGTGGGGCCGGGGATCTGCATTTGTAGCTAGCTCCCAGATGACAGAGGTGCCACTTGTCTGTGGACCTTGGGTGGCACGGCTCCAGTGGTTTGGAGAGTCAGTCTCCGGAGTGATTACCTCAGTTTCCTCCATTGTCAGCTTTGTGGCCTTATGCAAATGCCTTCGCCTATGTGTCTATAGAGCAGGAATACTTCTTACTTCCCAGGCTCTTGTGAAGATGGAAATCATTAATATTTAGTGCCTTTGATAGTGTCTGTCACTTCCTTCCTGCCTCGACCTTTCTTTCAAGCCCCCTCTGAGTCCCTCTTCGGGCCAATCTCTGGCTTCCAGTTCTGGATGTCCCCACCGGAAGATATGGTGCAGCTGTCCCAGGGTTTTTTTCTTTCATTTAAAAAATAATATTTATTTATTTTTGAGAGAAAGAGAGAGAGAGAGAGAGCACAAGTGGGGGCAGGGGGCAGAGAGAAAGGGAGACACAGAATCCGAAGCAGGCTCCAGGCTCTGAGCTGTCAGCACAGAGCCCGATGTGGGGCTCGAACTCACAAACTGTGAGATCATGACCGGAGCCAAAGTTGGATGCTTAACCAACTGAGCCATGCAGATGCCCCCCCACCCCCAGGGGTTTTTCAAAGGCATTCAGTCTGCTCAGGCACCAGCTAGCTCCTTGGTTTGTCCCCAGCTCCTGTTCTCAATGGGAAGTCCCCCTTCCTCTGGCCCCTGGCTCACAGTTCCCAAAACCTGGGTTCCTCCTGGGCCTCAGAATCCTGAGTGCACCTGGCTTGGACCCTCACCACCTACAAATACTATTGAAAAGTGCCTCATCTTAGTGACATCATTGGAAGAGGTCAGACGACGACCTTTCTCCCACCACCGCAGGGCTGCTGTCTGGAGACAGTAAGAAAGTCTGGCTTCCAAACTGAATGGAGTTCGTGCTTATTTTGGAGAAGACGTCTCCTTCTCTGGGTGATCTGCCCCCCTGAGAAGTCAGCTAGAGGCCTGCGCTTTCCCAAAAACGGACTGACCCGGTGGCACCCTGGGAAGTGGTTCCTTTCTGGCATTTAAAGACTACCCTAATTTCGTTGCCACGTGCGATGTGCAATCCCAGATTGTTGAGAAGAGCTTTGGCCACAGGTTTCCTGTGTACGGAGAAGAGACCAGAGCCTGGCCTTGCTGTTTGAGAGAGAGCAGGACGTTCTTGTGTAGAGAACAAGGGGAAATCATCGAGTTGTCCATGATTACCAAAGGATATGTAAGAAATATGTTGTCTAAGGTGGAAATTGCTACCCTTGGGTAACAGGAAAAGGCTGGCCATTACATTGTAAGTAGGAAATGGGAGGTAATGAAATAGATGCCTGCACCCAGCGCAACCTCGATAAGCAAGTTTTCGTCACACCTTGTCGATTCATCTTCTCAGATGGCTCTCCTCTCAGGCATCGAAACTCTGTCTCTAATACCAATCGGTGAAATGAACAAAGAGATTTGCCCAGCTGTCGCCATTGTTATCGGAGGCTAATACCAACAGGGTGCTACTAAAAGATCCCCACAATGTCCTCTGAATTGGAAAAGGCACCTTAAGGGATCCAAGCTGAGTTGCTGGTGTCCGTGCTCCTGACTTCCCAAATGCCGTGAGTTCTGACGGCCTTTGGAAGTCACGGGGAAGTCACTGCATTCAAGGCTTAATGGGCTCAGGCTTCCAACAGTCCCGCGGGCACAGAGAGATCATTGCAAAAATGTTTTCCCTGTGTGTGGGTTACTGCTCACCTCCCTAAAGGGCTGGGGAGCACTTTAACCATAATGCCTGGTAAGATTTCTGGTAAGATTTCTGGTAAGATTTCTGACTCCTGGTAAGATTTCTGGTGAGAAATTAGGCACAAGGAATGGTGTCCCCAAGCTATGGGAGGAGCAAGTCAACCGTAAGTCTCCTGAGAGCATACGGCTATACTCACAGGAGGTCCGTTCAGAGTAATGGTTGTTACAGAATCCATGCTAGCAAATGCCATAGAGATCACCTCCTTATTTTGCAGCTTTAGAGCCTGGGTCTCAGAGGTGGAAAGTCCTTGACTGTACAAGTTAGAAACCGAGTGGGAACAAAGGCTCCTGACCCCTAGGCTGGTGGATGGAGGGGGGCACGAACCCTGAAGTCACATCCCCAACCGGCCCCTCCTCTGCTATCACAGCTGTTATAAAGTGCCGTGTCCAGGGGCACCTGGGTGGCTCGGGCAGTTAAGCGTCTGACTCGTGACATCGGCTCCGATCATGATCTCGCAGTTCGTGGGTTCAAGCCCCGCATTGGGCTCTGCACTGACAGCATGGAGCCTGCTTGAGATTCTCTCTCTCTCCCGCTGTCTCTCTGACCCTACCCCCCTTGCTCTGGTTCTCTCTCCCTCTCAAAACAAATAAATATAAATATCTCTTAAAAAATATATATATATAAAGTGGGGTGTCCAGTGGAGAAATGGGAGTGAGGTCTCCCAGGTACCCAGTTCTGGGGCTGCCATTTTGGGGGCCGGCAACTTGTGGAATGACGCGCTGCACAGCCCCCAGGACCGGGTACGATGCAGGAACACCTGTGATCCGGTCCAGCTCCCACACACCAAAGTCGCAGGGTCCCCAAGCATGACACAAATGGGTGGGGTGAGCCCCGGCCGGGCAACAAAATCCACGGGCTCGGAGCCCGGGCCTGGGGTTTTTTTTTTTTTTTTTTTTTACAGCAGAGGTTTGGAAAAGCTACGGAAGCCTCAGGGCCAAATCGAGCCTTCTAGTCAGAGAAGGGGAAGTTTGGGCCAAAGTGGGAAGTGGTTTCCCCAGTGTCACTCAGAGCATCATTGGCCGAACCAGGGTGGGGACCCAGGGCTTCTAGGTGCAGGGCCTGCTCTCTCCCCCCCCACGATGCCTTAAATGGTAGCGGAAACAGTGCTGTGGGGAAAGGCGGGCGCAGGGGCGGCTGGAAGAAGAGACCGATGGCCAGTAGCAGAGAAGGCCTCTGGCAAGCTGGAGCACAGTGGGACGGTTGTCACGGGGCACGCAGCTGGCGTCTCCCTGAACCTGTAGGAAGTGATTTCGATTCCTTGTCTGTCTCTCTCTTACACACACACCCACACACGCGCGCACGTGTGCACCTTTCTGTTCACCTCTGACCCTTCGTCCTCGGTAGACCAGCGCTCTGCCCACCCCACTGCCGTGGCGGCACAATTCCCAAGCCCGGCCACCCCCAAAGCCCTCCCGATGCCGCCTCCCAACCGGGGGGGGGGCGCCCCCCGGGGGGGCGGCGCGCCCGGGGGGGCGCCCCTGGCTGCAGGCAGAGACATCTGGGAAATGGGACGAGGAATGTTGTAGCTCAGGATCCTGGAAGCTGAGCTGAGAGAATTAGAAATGAACCCCGCAGACGCATCGGTAGGTGTTGCTGTGGTTTGGGGGTCTGTGTCCTTCCCCCCACACCCCAGACAGCATCGCCAACCCCATGTGGCCAGAGGCTCTATGTCTCGGTCTTCACCGCTCGCTCCCCAGGAGCCCCGGGCCCTGGAGGAGGGAAGCAGGGGTGAGGCCATAGCCTTGCTCAGCCCTGCCCCTGTGTGCTCCGGGCCCTGACAGCAGATTCTGGGCCACCCTGCTCTCCCCAAAGCAGCTCCTGCAGCAACAGGTGTGGGGCTCCCTCTCTATTGCACGGGAGCCAGTGTGGGGTGTGTGATGTCCGGCAACGGGGGACAGGACCTCTTCCCTTCCGTGCCTTGTGCCTTTGTCTCAAAATAACTTCAAACTCCACCTGGAACACGGGCTTTGAAGTTCACGGTCCCTGAAGCGTCAGGGGAAGGGGAAGCGTGTGAACTGAGGACCCAGGAGTCAGGCTGCCTCCCCTGTGTGGTCAGAAAGCAAGCTGCACTGTGCACAGGAAGTCCTCCTTGTGCGAAGCTTGGAGGGGGCCGGCCTGGTTCCAGCTGCTTCCAGAAACCTCTTCCCTAGTCCTTGCTCTGCCCTCGGGTCCGGCGGTCTTTCTCTTGTCCTCCTTTGTTAGGGCCCCGCCGGGGCTCCCCGCGGGTGGAGACTGACTTGGGGTGAGCCCACCCCAGCCTGCTTGCTCCCTGATGTGCATGGGGCAGGCCCTCGCTCCCGATGTCCTGCCTCCCCGGCCGACACGGCGTCCGTGACTTCCCAATCCTGTTCCAGCAACTGGGTCCTTCAGTGAGTGAGGGGACCCTGGGTGGAGAGGGGACATGGATGGACCCACGTTGCCCCATGGGCCTCATCAGATGGGTGAATTGGGGAGGTTTTGCTCACATAGAATTTGGTTGAGGTTTTAGCAATTAAATGACACGTACCCACGTGTCTTAATCACAACTGCTGTCACCGAGGTCCCTGGACATCTGTGCCAGGGTCTGAAATGGCAGGAAACAGTGTTTGAGGTCATTAGAAGGTCGTGGAGGGGCTGAGGTGCTGGTGGGGTGGGGGGGGGATACACTTGCTGCTCCCAGCGGCCTTTATACTGCGTCTGTGAGCCATGACCTCAGAGGGGCCCGGGGGAAAACTGGGGAACCACAGGGAGAGATAAGGGGGATTTTGTGACTCCTAATATCTGGGAACAGACCAATGCCAAGGGGAAAAGATACAGGGGGAGAGGCACATCCAGAGCGGCCGTGATGGGCGAGGTCCCCTCCTGTTCTCTGTGCCGCAATCATGACACTTCCGAGCCACCTAACAGAGCCCTTCCACGGGGCACTTCTCAGTGACTGGCCCATCTCCCAAGCTCCCTTTTGTGCTAAGACGAGTTTGGGGGGCCCCAGAGGGCGCAGTGGTGGTGGCTGCTGTTCAGAAACCTGGAGCAGCCGATGGACCAGAGCCTCCCTCCGGGGCACACGTCGCCTGAGGCTGGAGGTCCCGGATGAAACACTCAGACAAGCACCTCGGTCACTTGAACCCAATTCCTGTAGCTGAGCACGTGCTCACTCGCGCTGGTCCCGATCACCTTCTCCAGGGACTTGAGGATGAGGACTCGGCCCAACCTTGGCCTCCAGCAGACAACAGGAGATGGGCAGCCCCCTCCCCTCGCCCAACCCAGCGAGGCTGTGTCCAGAGCCGATAAAAGTAGCTAATGTCTATTTAGTGGCAGCTGTGAGCTAGGCAAAGCGAGAATCTCACAACCTCATCTGCCAGACCTAGCGCAGCTCCCCGTTTTACAGACGGGGAAACCGAGGCCACATCCTAGACAGTGGTCTCCGGGCACCCTCCCCCAGCCACTGGGGTCTGACGTCC